TTTCCCTACCTGCTCTTTCCCATGCGTAATCTTATAAACCTCGATCATGTCACCCCTCAGTCGTCGTTTCTCCAAGCTAAAGAGTCTTGTGTGGTCTTAAAGGTGCCACTGGATTCAAACTTTGTCCTGTTGCTTCATAACATTTTAAGGGTAGATTCAGGTGGGGCAGCCGTGTGGGTCTGAAGCAACAGAACAAAGTTTGAGTCCAGTGGCTCCTTTAAGACCAACAAAGTTTATTTCTGGGTATAAGCTTTCGTGTGCATGCACATGAATGCTTATATCCGGAATTAAACTTTGTTGGTCTTAAAGGTGCCACTGGACTCAAGCTTTGTCCTACGGTTGTGTGCGTCAGTGCACATGCATCCCTTCCCTCTGTCTTGCTTCCCCCCTCCCTCCAAATGGGCACATGGACACAGGTCTGAAAAATAGCTGGAGGATGGAAGTTGCAGATGAAAACCTGCACACTCTGCAACCCCTTCTGCAGCAAATCAGCCTCTGACCCAGCTGTTTTGCAGCTGCATAGCACAGGCCCCTTGAGAGTCCCCTGGACTGCAAGAAGATCAAATCAGTCAATCCTAAAAGAAATCAACCCTGACTGTTCCCTGGAAGGCAGGAGACTGAAGCTGAAGCTGAAATACTTTGGCCACCAAATGAAAAGGGAGCACTCCCTGGAGAAGACCCTGATGCTGGGAAAGACTGAAGGTCAAAGAAGACTGGGACGGCAAAGGATGAGATGGTTAGACAGTGTTATCGAGGCAACGAATATGAAATTAAGCAAACTCTGGAGCACGACAGAAGACAGGAGGGCCTGGCGTGATGTGGTCCATGGGGTCGTGAAGAGACGGACTCGACTTTGCGACTGAACAACAACAAAAAGCACAGGCCCAGGTCTACCCCGGACTCACTACTTCACACCCATCGGGACCAAGCCCGGGACACTTCTGTAGCCAAGTCCTGCTGGGAATCCAAGTCAGCCAGGCAATTAACGTGTGGCTACGTCTCCTGAAGAAAATACCCAGTCCGCATGACAGCGCCCCAGACGACAGGGATCCAGGGTATGAGCAGGTGATGACATTCCGCTGAAAGGCCTCGTGCCTGCGAGCTCCTCTCTCAAGGGTATCGGTTTCCAGCGCGGTCGCTCTGCTTTTAAAAGCCCATTTCAGAAATGTCGCTCGGAGCCATAAGAGCTCTGGCCTCTGCTTTCCCCAGCCCGAATTTCTTTAAAAAGAAACCGGCTTTCTAACGGCTGCCAGGACCTCCTTGACCGTGAAGCTTCTTGGCAAACCTCGATGGCAGTCGATCAAAGAAGCCAGACCTCTTCACAAGCCGCCTTTTGTACCCCAGACACTGCCCTTGAGGTCGTATGCCATAACGGAGGGGAAAAGATATAACGTCTAAACCTCGGATCAGTCTGGGAAAGTTTTGCCATCCAGAGTAAAAAAAGAGGTACAAACTTTGGGGAAACCTTGGACTGATTGGTCGGCAAAGGCAAATTTTAACTGACTTCAAATTAAGGCCAACCGGCTTCGTGTGGAAAGCTACTTTGGTGCTGGTGTGTTACTGGAGTTATGACTGGGAAAAAAGAAAGCAGCAGACGGCTTTCGCTTCCCCCAGCATGAGACAGTTTTTGTGTGTTAAATGCATGTTCATCTTCAACACCGTGCAACATTTCAAAAAGGTCCATCTATTAAAGTTCTGGTCATATTTAATTTTAAATTGATTACATGGTCAATGATTACTTCAGTGATTTTTTTTTGGGGGGGGGGAGCAGAAGCCTCTACCGATTGCGCTAGTTCCCAACACTACCTAGAAATCGATTATCTTTTATGCCACCTTTCCTCTAAGGAGCTTAGAGCAACATACACAGATCTTCCCCTCCTCTTTTTCATCTTCACAACGACCCTACAAGGTAGGCTGGGCTGGAAAAGGGTGTCTTGCCCTTGGGCACCTATGGCTGAATGTGGGAGTGCACCTGGAATTCTCCAGTTCTAGCCCGATACTCTAACTCTTACACCTCTCTCTTTCATCAGCCAGCACGATCCAATGGGGGGGGGGGAGAGTTTTCTCCTTCACAAACCAGGCTGGTGTACTTGCGTCCAGTGTTCCCTCTAAGCTGAGTTAGTGTGAGCTAGCTCACAGTTTTTTAGCCTCCAGCTCACATATTTCTGTCTTAGCTCAGGAAGGATGGCTCCAGAGCAAACTAATTTATGCAGTAGCCAAATCACTTGCTCACAACTTTAATGCCGGTAACTCACAAAATAGAATTTTTGCTCACAAGACTCCACCGCTTAGAGGGAACATATGGTGTTCGAACCTTGGATCTAATTGGGTGTTTCAAATAATTCTGTTTAATAACCCATTTACTTTAAGTTAAGGACCTGGCAGGGAAAACGGGGGATGCTGTGCATTCAGTTTTTGGGAGAGAGAAAAGGCAAGTCTTTCAAATGGGCTGAATACTGCGAGATGTGCTGGAACTTGGCTTTCAACAGAAGAAGGAGTGTCTTTAAAAAATCCTATAAAGCAGAAACATGCTTAATCGGTCGACAGGCCTAAGTGTCAGCTCAGCGGCCAGCACACTGGGAAGGGAACATGGTTCAGTGGTAGAGTCTCTGCTTAGTTTTCAGAAGGCCCCAGGTTCAAACCCCGGCATCCCCGGTTGAAAAGATCAGACTGTAGGTGACATGTGAAAGACCCTGCCTGAGACCCTGGGGAGGCCACAGCCAGTCTGAGTAGACACTGGTTTTGATGGACCGATGATCTGATTTAGTACGAGGCAGCTTCAGGTGTTCACAGACAGCCCTCATTCAAAAAGACAAATTCAACTCTAGAGATGTGAAGGCCCAGAAAAAACCCAGAAAAATTAGCCTTTTTTGTTTTTTTCCGAAAAATTGAAAAAATAAAATAAAATTTAAAAAATTGACTATGGAATGTTTTATTTTAACATGATGAATAAAATATTTTAAGACAAAGTGTGCAAATATTTTCCAAATCATTTCTCATATATATGGTATCAGATTGATCTAATTTCTGTGCACTGAGGACAAGCAAGTCCTAGGTTACAAACTGAATCCTCCAATGCAAGAACAAGATGCATTTCTTCCTTTAGGAGGTGCTATTGTCAGAAGAAAATAAAAAGGTTTCAGTTTTGTTTTTGCATGTGGGTTGGTATTCTGTTTGTAATAATTGTTTGGAT